AGGATGCTTGCCCTGCAGGCAGTGCAAAGATGGTACCAAGCATGATTCTGATGGAACCTTAACCCTTTCCCCTTTTTTAAAGTGAAAAGCCTGGTCCTCTGTGGGCTTTGGTGATGTTTTCATTGCCCAGTCGTGGAGAATACTGAACCTCCAAATCAATTGCCTTTATGGTGTGAGTGTAATTTCTGTGCAGTCGTGGAGAGTCACTATTTTTTACATTTACTTTACCACTTGTGTTTTGGTTTTAGATCAGGTAACTCTGAGATCCTGTACGCTGGTGCGTGACACTGAGTGCCAATGCAGAGAGGGGTATTTCTGCCCTGCTGAGGGCTGTGAAATCTGCCAGAGATGCAGTACAATGTAAGCTTGACAACAAATACAAGCAACTCTTTTCCTTCTCGGGAATGCTAGAGCTGTGGCCCAGTCTGTGCCAATACCTAACACATGTTATTAGGCTGGAAATCATTGCCTTGATGTTAAACAGCATTGTTCATGCATTTAAATTTTAGGTGTCAGAACACAAGCGGTTGAGATATGGAAAGAGATGGATTTTGGTATTGTTCTGCTTGTTGCTTATGGCTGCAAGCTTACACTTTTCATGTCTTCAGAGTAGTACCACCCCATGCACAAACTCAAATGAGCTTTGTAGCAGCTGGCCCAAAATGCTGGGAGGTAGAACCACCTGTTGAAGGAAACTAACACGTGCATGAATAATGCATCTGCTCTGTGGGCTCTTTTCTTACCACTTAAGAGGCAAACACACATGAGCTTTATCTGCTTTGCTTCTGTTTAATCTTGTAGTATTATCTTGAGTTGTTTAAAGGTGCACTTCTAACAGAGTTATCTGTTGGCGTATTCTGTTCGTGTCTCCAAGCTCTGCCTGAAGGTAAATTTGGCCTAGGCAGAGCTGCTGATTGCTCTGCAAATGCTGATGCAGCTCTCTGTTGCCATCCTCCTCAGGTGTCCAGAAGGGAAAGAAATTGTGCACAATTGCAATGCTACCATGGACCTTGGATGTGGCTCACCTGATCAAGGTCTGGTACATAATGCTGCTCAGCTGGGGCTGTGGGGTCTGTGGCTTCAGGGTGGTCTGTAAACCAGTGCTTTGAACTATGGGAACATGTTGAAAAGCTTCTGTATTTTGGTCTGGGGGTTACTTGCCAAAGACAAGCTCTAAAGTGTGTTGGAGTGACAAACTCATCTTAAATTTCACTTGGTGAAAAACGACCATGTGTTGCCAGGATTTTCAAAGTGGCAGTGGTCAGGCTGTTGAAAGTTACCACCAGACACAGAAAACATGAAAGGAATCTTAGCACTGGGAAGCTGGCTATGGAGTGGCTTTCTCTTCTGCTGGTAGCTAGCTTCTGCCAGAGCAGAGAAAGCAGGCACTGACACCATGAGTGCTACTGCACCTGAAGCTGGCTCTCTTAAATGTCTCTGCAGAAAGCCCTGTGGAAGTTTCTCTTTACAGAATCCCCTCTGCCTTGGGTGGTGGGGTGGGAGCAGGTGCTGGCAGGGTCTGGTCAGCTTACAGTCCCAGCAGCTCTTGCAGGACAAGCTGGCTGGGTCATTGCTCCAGTGCTGAGCTTGGGCTGCTCTCTCAGACAGCAGGGAAGACTTTGTGCTTCAGACTGTCAGACTATGGCTCAGTGCTAATTTCTTCTTTTTCCTTTGCAGGAGGCACAGCTCTTGCTTGGATTATTGTCGTTGTTTTGGTTGGTGGTGGTTTGTTGCTCTTCTTTGTAATTAGAAAGCTGAAGAGTAATAAAGGTAACTGCTTGATTACTACCTGTAAACTTTGCAGAACTAGGCAAAACACTGAAGTTATCTCTGGGTTTTGTTACCTTACAGGGGAGCTGTTCAAGATCTAGCTCATTTAGTATGTGATTCAATGAACTCCCATATAAAGGAGACTTTTTTTTTTTCAGCAAATAAAATGCATAAGATTTAACTATTTACTTTGACAGATGCCTTTGCTTCCAAGCAATATTTGTTTAAGGTCCTTAAAAGGACTTCTGGTCTACTTGCTTTGTATTGGCAAAGAGTGAGAGAAGTCTGTGAGCTCAGATGTATGGGGCAAAAAGTAGCAACTAGTTAGATTATTAATTACTTTAATTCACTGTATTGGGCTGTAGCTTTTTTTTTTCCTGTGAGTTGTTGTCCTTTCATCATTTGAGGCTCTTAACATGAATGTTAGATTGATAAGTCCTGTGTGAATTGACTTTATTTTTTTTAGTAGAAATGGATGTTTTCTTGAGAAACTTTTCTTTCTCTTACTGCATATTAAAGTATTTTTGCAACTCATTTAGTCAGAATCACGTTGAAAATTATTCTGAATTTTGAACATGAACTTTGTTCAAATCCTGTTATACTGACCATATTGCAGTAAAGACAATTTCTGCCTTCTGTCCTATATTGCAGTAGCCCACAAAAATGCTAAGAGGCAGAGGCTGGAGGAGGGGATAGGTTTAAAAACTGGCTTAAATGCTGAAATGAATCTTGCAGCCTGTATTTTTACTTAAAGTGAACTCTTTATCCCTTGTATGAAGGCGCAGTGCTTGTGCTGTTGGTGGAAGCTAAGGGTACTCCTGGCATGGGACATATGACAGGGCAAGAAAACTTAATGGCTTGTATTAAAGCTTTGGTTTGTTACAAATGTGTCATCTGCATATAAATCTTCTATAAGCCCAGCTACATTTAAGTTGTTGCAATTCCTAAAAGTTTCTTAGTCATTTATCTTGTTTTCCAGGTGCTTCAAATTATAAAGATCCAGAAGGAGGTTTGGTAAGTATGTGCTGGATCGAGTGTTTGGTCTCAGTTTGTGCAGCCTAGTTGTACCTGATGCACAGCTCTCAATTTTTGTCCTGCTGTAGGCCTCTGGTAGGATGTGTTCCTCTGATGCAAGAAGCTGTGATTCATACAGGGCCGGGTGTTAGCAAGGGCCTGATGCCTTCAGCAGCTGCATGTGTCCACTGCTGTTGGCCTTTCCAGTGCTTCCCTTGGAAACATTTCAGAGCCTGTGACCAGGATGTTGTGGAAGTGGGAGGAAAAAAAAAAATGCTAGGCTGAGTGCAAGCTTTCACTTCAGACTGTCTCCAAGTGATGACTTGATCCAATTAGTTCTTTGCCTGGAGAATACATGCATGAAGCAACACCACCAGCCATCACTTCCCTGCACGGTGGTGTTCTAGTGTGCCCTGCATTTTGGCTGAAACATTAATTGTTCAGAAGACTTCTCTTGATCCAGCACAGTGACTGAGTCTTCCTGCCTTTGGGCTTGTGTTGCAAGCTGCAGACCAGGACCTGGCAGTCTAATATCTTGGTCCTAGACAGTCCTATAAGATGGGGCTCAGGCTCAGTGTACCTGTTCAGAAGTACATCCCTGAAAAGGGTTTGCTGAGCTAAGGCTGGCTGCTGTCATGGGTTCCACTTAAAAGCTGGGTTCACCCTGGCCTCCTGTACTCAAACACTCAGAACCTGCTGTTTCAGCTAGTCCTGTGTTTTGCAAGATAAATACAAGACTAGCTTCTATGTAGTCAGTCTAGCTTTAGCTTCTCTCTTTAGAAGCTATGCTCCTAACAGCACAGTGAGGCAAAAATGAGCTGTGTTCACTAGCATGGTTAAAGATGTGTAACACCAAGCTGTGGAACAAATGTTTGCCTTGATGAGGATCTAAGAAAAATATCTAGATTACCCTTGTAGCATGAGTGCAGCACTTTCTTCTCCCTGCTGCCTCATATCACCCTCCCAGCGCATGGTGTGAGCTCCATTAGACATTTCAAGCCATTAAATGCAACTTAATAATAAAAAAAATATTGAAGACTGAAGAAATGGCACCTGAAAGATGTTAAACATCACCTTAAACTCCTCTCTTTTTTAAGGTCCATAAGTGGCTCAAATATGTGAATGACCCATGGGCTCTTGCTGGGTTGTGTCTCCCGTCACGCCCTGGCCAGATTCGCAGTGCTTCCTGTGTTCCTAGAAGCTGATGAAGAAACAGGACAGAAAACTTGGTCAAAATCCTGTAGCATAGGAATAGGAAAACACAGCATCTCTTCATTGTTGAATAAAATGGCAGTAGAATAATGCAGTGACAAATTGGTGCGTGGTGAGGCTCAGCTCTGATGTAAGACTTCTCACAGAGCTGAGCTGTGGTGTCTGCGCACTCGGAGCGTTTGTGCCACTGTAATGAGAGTTATTTGCTGAGGGGGGCTGCATGGAAGCAGTCCTGAGACCAGGTGTTTTGGCACCAAAGCACTGTCCTTTCCAAAGTACCAGTGAATTTATACTGCTGTAAATACTGCTGATACTTTACTTTGCTCCAAAACAGAGCAGCAGCTATTGGTCAGCTGTGCTCTGTACCTTCAGTCACTCGGTTACCTGTGTAAGGATTATTCTGTATAAAAATAGGATTGACTTGTTTAACCTGTCTGCACCCTGAAACAGAAAGTGGGTTCACTGGGGATGTTGTACAGTATGGGTGTGGGGTGGTTCCCCTCATCCCTGCTTACGTGTGTTGGTCACATGATGGTGTCACACCTGGGTCACTGACCTTCTGCAAACAGATATCACACTGGCTTGTGCTCGTGGGGGAGCTGCACCTTAAACAGGAGTCCCACAGGAAAAAGTCACTCCTCACCCTTATTTTCCACCTTTAAAGAAAAATAAAATTCCTAAAGCTTTCCAGTTTTACACTAGATAGGTGCTGGTCTGCTTGGTACTGTTCCTGGTGAGCTGGAGCTGTACTACCCAGCATGTGCTTGTTTAATACACTGACAGTGTTAAAAAGGATGCAGCCCTCCTCACTTGCCTCCTCCTTTGTCCTCTCACAAAAGCTATGCAATGTGCACTGGTGCTCCCTGCTGCCTTTTCACTGATTCTGGTATATAAATTTGCTCAAAAAATACCCTGATCTAGCCAAGAAAAGCCCAAGCTGGTGTGTTTACACGGAGCTGACAGGCTATTATCAGCTCAGCAAAAGGTCCTGAGCATCAGCCCTGGTAGCAATGATAAGCTTGAAGTCCCTGATGCTGTTAAGTCAGCTCAGGTGCAGCAAGGCACCTGAATTTACTTTCCCCCTGCCTCAGGAGGGGTGTGTACCTTCCACACCTGGGGAGCACCAACACACACCAGTCAGACCATCAGGGAAAGTTTCCTGTGCTGGCTGTGGAGGCAGCCTGGGAGCCTTACCCTGCAGTCTGGTGGGGGCAGAACAGCCAGCAAAGCAGGCAGTGTAGGCTCTGAACCCCTTTGAAGCCCAGTCTATAAAGGCTGTAAGCTTTGCATGTTTGTAACTTTGCCAAATTAGTAGCTCTCCAGTTATTCTTGGACATCTGGTGACTTCAAGTATTCTGTTTTCTTCCTCCAGAGACTGGAGAAAGAGGAGACTGTCCTTGAAGGCCTACCTGTGAAACACCTCTTAAAATATGCCTTTACTCTTTGTATTCTTTTCAGGGCAGTACTAAAGGCCTCATTTCACCTGAAGCGGAGACACCTGCAACTAACTCAGAAACCCCAGAAGATGAGAACTCTGGTGAGAGCCCAGAGGACCAAGAACAAACCAACGTTAACTCCGAAGGGGAAGACAAACTGCCAGAGGAAAACAGCTTTGTATCTCCAGGAAGCTTTCAGCTTGTGCCTTCCGAGTGGGGCACCATCCTGCGCAAGGTCTGGAGGCGTTACATGAGAAGGGGCTGCAGGAGGACAGCTGAGTCTTCTCTACTAGCAAAGCTAGGGCAGAATCCTGCTTCTCGGCAGAAGGCCCGCTCTGGTGCTCGCAGTCGAGGGGTGCTAGGAAATCGTAGGGTGAGTGTGAAATGATCGTGTTCTCGCTGTGATTGCAGTGAAGTTTTTAACTCTTCCTTGAGTGATAGGTGCTGTTTTCAGGCAGGGCGCCAGGGAAGAGGAGGCTTTGCCTTAAAAATGTAGTAAAAAGCATGGGAAGTGATGTCTTTGGAAAGCAAACTTCAGTCTCCCGTTTCATCTGCTCTGCCTCTCTCATCTCCCTGATCAATATTTACACAGACGCCGTTCTTTTGCAATAGCAGCAAACGTGTGGCCTTGTTGCTTCACTCGGGGCTAGCAGCATGGCTGTTTCAGCATGCACTTTACCCAAAAACTTTGAGCTGGGCTCTGAAATCTGCTCCCTCTCCCTTCCTGGTGTGTGTGCTGCAGAAGCTCAGGAACCATCATGAATGAAGCGCACTGATGTGTTGGATTAATGGCCCAAATTTGTATTACAGGTACGAGATCGAAGGTATCGAATAATTGTTAAAGATCTCTCTCAGAAAGGTAAGTATTCTGTAAATTGGCAGTGCTTTGAGTTTGGTTTTGTCCTGTTGACTAAAGGAATAGTGCAGGGAGGCTGAGGAGTATTGCTTAGAGCTATGAGGCTTTCAGTTTATTATAACATATGCTGAAACAGGATTATTACTACTTTTGGGAGAAGCTGTAATCCCTGTGGTAAATTGTTCTCCTCCAAAGCATGGCTCTTCTGCACAGGAGGATAGTGCAGTCATGCTTTGAAGAATAAGAATAGTACAAAACCCTTTTTTTTTTTGGATGTTTTCAACAAGTCTGTACCTCAGCCGTGTACTCTGCCTTAATGAGTGAGGTGTAGGTCAGAGTAGATCTTTCTGTTAAACGTCTGCCCACGTGGGAGACTGTGTTGAAGCCCCATATGTCTACCTGTGCCCAGCAAGGTGATGTTCTGGATGTCCAAGCAAGGGGTTTTGATGATGCTGGTCTTGGCATGGCACCCCTGTGCAGTAGCATAGTGAAGTGGTTAAAGCCAACTGTTAAGTAGCCCTGTTAAGTTGAAGTGAAGACATGCAGGCCAATGAAACCTCCCTCAAAACCACCTTTATGGAGTGGTGCCTCATCTTAAGAGACTGCTTTTGAGATTGATACCTTCAGCTTCTTTCAGGATCACTCCAGCAGGAAACCTATTTGTCCTGCTGCTTCTTAGGTGCCAGAGCTGGCCTTGCTGCTGGTGTTTGGTGTGTGCAGGTATCAGCTGGAAATTAATGGGAAAGCATGTATGAAAAAAAAATATGTATTTTAAACCCTAAGTTGATGTGTGTTGTGTGTATTTTCTTTCAGAACTGAGATATAGCTTTTGGACCTTTATAAAAGAAGTACCACCCAGAAAATGGAGGCAGCTGATGAGAACTCATCTGCTTGAAAACGATCTTGCTAAAATTATTCAAGACTTTCCTAATGATACAGAAGAGCAATCTTATCAGATGCTTCTCACCTGGAAAAACACACTGGGAGAGAAACAAACTATTATTAAGCTACTGGATGAGTTACAGTCTCTAGACAGCAAGGCTTATGATAATGTATTGAACATTTTAAAAAGTAGTAACATTATAAGTAAATTAGAAGCTACCGATTAATGTTTACAATGAGCTTCAGAAATGCTTCTGTGTGCATACATGTTTACAAACTTCCTGTAAACAAGGAATGTCAACAAACTAGTGGAAGTGAGGGCATGGACTTGATATCCTCCTCACCTTCACCCGGGGAGCTGGGAGGGATTTAACACCACCAGTGTTGGCATGGACTCCAGCCGTGATGTTCGCTAAGGCCCTTTGAGTTTTCTGACATTAAACTTGGGCGCTGGATGCCAGCTTGAGAGCGAGGAGCTCCGGCTCGTGCTTCCCTTCCTGTGAGGCAGGAACAAAGAGGCTGCTGCTGTTTTTGAGCATATTGCAATGCTTTGGTTTCTGAAGCGATTGTGTGTCCAATTTGTGTCGGTATGCTCCGAGTTGTTACGTTTGAAGCATAACAATAAAAGTCTAGTTGAGGCAGATGCTGGTGTTGACTTTTGGCCTTTGCTTTCCTGAGGGTGGGAGGGGAATAAAATCATAGGGGAGACCACAACTGGAGGACTGTGCCCAGCTCGGGAGTCTCCAACACAAGACGGACAAGGACCTGTTGGAACAGGTCCAGAGGAGGGCTGTGAAGACGATCAAAGGGCTGGAAGGAGGACAGGCTGAGAGAGTTGGGGCTGTTCAGCTGGGAGAAGGCTTATGTCGGCCTTCCAGTATCGGAAGGGGGTTCACAAGCTGGGGAGGGACTTTTTACAAGGGCTTGTAGTGATAGGATGAAGGGTCATGGGTTCAGATTGGACGAGGGGACACTTAGGTTAGCTATAAGAAGTTCTTCACTGTGAAGGTGGCAAGACACTGAAGGTTGCCCAGGAAAGGTGTGGATGCTCCACCCCTGGCAGCATACAAGTGACTTGGTCTAGTGTGAACTGCTCCTGCCCAGGGGATTTTTTATTTCTTCTGTGAGATAAAAAATTGGGTTTTTACAAGAATCATCTGTGTATGATCTATGAGAATCCTCAATCTACGAGA